GGCGGGCGCGGCCGGGCCCCTCGGGCGGGCTGGGGCGGCGGCGCGGTGGAGCGCGGCGCTGCAGCCATGGCGGGCGGCGCGCGGCTGCTCTGGGTGTCGCTATTGGTGCTGCTGGCGCAGCCGGGACTGGGCCGACCCCGAGAGCGGCTTCGCGTGCGCTTCACCCCCGCCGTGTGCGGCCTGCGTTGCATCCATGGGCCCACTGGCTCCCGCTGTACCCCGACCTGCGCGCCCCGCAACACCACCAGCGTGGACAGCGGCGCGCCCGGCGGGGCGGCCCCGGGGGGACCCGGCTTCCGCGCCTGTGAGTGCGGGATGGTGCTCCCAAGGGAGGAGTGCCCGGAGGGAGGACCCTGGAGACAATGCCTTAGGAAGCAAGAGCCCAGATTCCATGTACAGAAGTGCTGGGGAGTCCGTGGGGTCTTAGAGGAAGGGGGCTCTGATTTCAGGAGCAATGAGTGGTTTCGGGAACCTGTAGTGTCCCACGTGAAAGGACTGGGGCTAGCTTTCATCCCTTTCAGTCAAGGCGGGGATCTCAGAATTGAGGGATCTGGGAACTTTTGAGATGGGGCCCAAATTCGGAGATTGTGCGTAGCGGGTCACCAGGGAGTGTTTCAGAGTCGCAGTGTGTGTGTGGGGGGGGGATATCTCAAGTTTCTGGGAATGTCTTTGAGTGGGGGAAGACTAGGAAAGTCTGGCATGGGACTGCCTGCGACGGAGAGCTAAGCGGGAGGGGACCCAGGAAAGACGGGGTGTCTTTCGGCAAGACCTGAATTACAGCGATTCCACGTGCGAGAGAGATCCAGATAGGAGGCCTGAGGAAAGGGCGCCCCCTGGGGGAGGAGGGGACCGGCTTGCGCTTCAGCTTCCCCTAGACAAGGGGAGCATTCTGGGGTTCAGGTGAGGTCGGGAGGGCGCGCCACCTGCTAGCCCAGAGTGTGGGGATGGACTAGGGGGTCGGGTTTTCCTTCCTTCCCACCACTTACGCCCTCCAGAATGGGGAGTGGGGCCCCTGGCGCCGAGAACTCGCCCAGGCTGGCCCCCAGCCAGCCCAACCCGGCCGGCGTGAGCTCATCTCCCGCCCGAGCCCCCGCCCGCTACCACTCCCTCTCTCCGCCCCTTCCTCCCTCCTTCCTTCACTCTCTCCCGGCCCAGCCCCAACTCGCCCGTGCCAGGCGCCGTGCCCAGACGGGTGCCAAGCCCCTGGAGGCACAAGGAGGAACATGTGAAGGCGAGCTGACCTCGGCAAGACCCCTATGTCCTCAGCTCCCTGTTCTTCTAATGATGTGGGACATGAAGTTAGTTTTGCCCACTTAGCAGTAAGCCCTCTGGTACGGGCACCCCGAGCTGAGAGTCTGTATTCAAGCCAAGAGCAGGCAGTGAAATGACTTCAGAGACTAAGAAATGCCCCTAAACTTAGTGGCTTCCTCCTATCCGAGACACTCCATTTTTTGCAATCTCGCTTCTCGGTTGAGCCCTTCTTAAGCACTGCCATTTAAAGAACCCCATTAAGGTACCTGGAGTCCAGGTTTAACGCTCCTGACAGGGGATCCGGGTTTTTGGCCACCGGATCCCGCTCCACCCCGGGTCAAACACTCCAGGAACTCCTCCAGCCAAGTTCCTTCTCCCTCCTTGGAGGTATTCCTCCAAGCTGCGCCCCTCCCAGGAGAATTCTAATATTGTCACCCTGCAGCTTCTCACATCCCCTGAAACACTCAAACATGAGCCTTAAGTGGAGACAATTCTCCTCCTCCAACATCGCCCCCCGATTCTCTTCCACACAGCTTCATTTTCTTCTTCTATTTCTAATGTAGCCTTCCCAGACCTATCCACAGAAGGCCACTAATCTAGACTCCGGGCAACCAGACCCTTGACTAGGGAGGAGGAGGAGGAGGACTTTCCACCGATTCCTAAGGTCCCGGCAACTTGAGAGTCTTAACGTGCTAGAATCGATCAGACTTCACTTCTTGTCCTCAGCTCCTTCACATGGGCCACACCCCCGCCTCCAGAAAGTACTAGAGTCCTGTTTTCTAGGCAACTCTCCGAAAGGACTTGAAAGACTCTTGGTTGAGAGCCTAGATTTGCTCTGAGCTAGCCTCACCCTGCCGCCTAGAAAACGTGGGTCGTCTTTGAACCTCAGAGTACTGCCTCCATGATCATATCTTCCAAGGTCGCCTGTCCCTTGATTCGTTAGACCGAGGTGGCTCTCCTGCGTTTCCTTTTGTACAGTTGTGGCTCAGAAAATCCCACACACACCTCCCCGGACAGCCCGGACTGTCTGCTCCCTCCTTCCCCTGAGCGCAGCTGTCTCCAGCTGTTTTCGGCAGCCCCAGGGGAGGAAGGGAGGGGGGTGCCCTCGAAAGACACGTCCGGCCTCCTTTGGCTCAGCAGTCCGGGGCTCCCCAAGGGTCCGGAATGCAGAGACGACGCCCTGCCCCCGCTGCACCCCTTCTTTGTTTACCCCGCCGCACAGCTGGCAGTGCCCCGCCCAGAGGTGGCCAGGGGCCCAGAGAGGGTGCGCGGAGGGGAGTAGAGGCGCGTCCCCGCTAGTTGCCCCGCCCGGTGCTACCGGAGGCGGGGAGGGCAGGCTGGAGGAGGGAAGTGGGCGGGGCTAAAGCGTCTAGTTCGCCTAAGAGTGGGAGGGGCGTGGGTCAGGGCAAATCAGAGGGAGGAAAGTGGTGGGTGGGGCTAAGGCTATCAGGTACCTGGGTTGGGCGGAGTTTACGATGTCAGGTAGAAGGCCATGTGGGCGGGGTTAGAAAGGAGTGCCTGGCCAATGGGAAAAGCCTGGACGTTTTGGATTCCAGCTGAGACAGAAAAGGGGGAACGTTGGTTTGTTGCGAGCAAAGGGCGGGGAATAGCACTGTAGGTGGGGCTGGAACGCCTAACTCAGCCTGAGAATGGGAAGGTGAATGACGATGGGAGAGGAGGCGGAGTAAGCCCACCTAGTAGGCGGTACTATGTGATAGCAGCAGGACTTGATCCACCCGATGTAGTCAGCCAGATTTGGGGAAGGTCGCTGTGGTAGCGTACTGCTATAGTCCCAAAAATTAGGAAGCGGAGGCAGGAGTCAAGAGTTAAAGCATTGGCTATATAGTGAGTTTTCGAGGCTAGCCTGGGCTACATTAGCCCCTATCTTAAAACAAAAGTAAACAAACGGGAAAAGACACCTAGGGTGGAGAGATGTAGGATGATGTACCTTGAGGCCCTCGCTTCAGCGCTGGGGACTGAGTTAGCTGTCTGCCAGGCACACTACTGATATTTTGTGTCCTTGCTTTCTTCTCAGTCCTATGTCCCTTGATCTGTCACAACGGTGGTGTGTGTGTGAAGCCTGACCGCTGCCTTTGCCCCCCGGACTTCGCTGGCAAATTCTGCCAATTGCATTCCTCGGGGGCCCGGCCCCCGGCCCCAGCCATGCCGGGCCTTACCCGCTCCGTTTACACAATGCCACTAGCCAACCACCGCGATGACGAACACGGTGAGGAGAATTCAGCCTAAGGGCCTCTTTCTGATCCCACTTTCCTCAGGAACCTGACCATTCTCTGACCAAGTTTCTTGCCTTCTTTGCTTACCCCCCCCGCCCCCGCCAGCCTGGTTTGGTAGCTTCCACCTGTAATCCCACCACTCGGGATGCAGAGGCGGGAAGATCACTGATGGTATTACATTACCACGCCACCTCCAAACACCCCCACCCCCCAATATCTAGGACCCATCCTCAGCTCACCTCTCCAATCTACTCCTAGCCAGTCAGAGCTCGTGTAGATACATCCCATTGTCCATCTTGCCTCCGCTCAGGCGTAGCATCGATGGTGAGTGTGCACGTGGAGCACCCTCAGGAGGCGTCGGTGGTGGTGCACCAGGTGGAACGTGTGTCGGGCCCCTGGGAGGAGGCGAACCCTGAAGCCCTAGCCAGGGCTGAAGCGGCGGCACGAGCTGAGGCAGCGGCGCCTTACACAGTGCTGGCACAGAGCGCGCCACGCGAGGACGGCTACTCAGACGCCTCCGGCTTCGGTTACTGTTTCAGGGAACTGCGCGGAAGCGAAGTGAGACGAGGCCGGCGGGTGGGTGTGGGGGGGGGGAACCCCTGAAGCATGCCACCACGTGGGGGCGCGCTCACGCCTCACTTCTTCCACAGTGTGCATCGCCGCTGCCCGGCCTCCGGACGCAGGAAGTATGCTGCCGAGGGGAGGGCGTGGCCTGGGGTGTTCATGATTGTCACCCGTGCGCGGAACACCTGGGTAAGAAGCCCTGGGTCGTCTCCAAACCTCGCCTCTTCTCCTCCGGGCACAGATAAACCCTAGTCACACATTCTAGCTATATCTACCTACCTTGGGGGTGGTCGTGTCTATCTAGGTTTTTCTATCCCGTTGGGTCCGTTTACCCCATTCTGATTTTGGTCACTTTTCTAACGGCTTTCGTGCCATTGTCTCATCCGTGCATTTCGAGAGCCTCCGACTTTATTACTGGACTGCCAGTGGGAGGCTGGCACACTTCAAACCACACTTCACTGCTTTTAGCCCCTCCCACTTCATCGCTCTTCAAAACTGCCTGGTTATCTCTCTGCCAACCAGTCCCCGCCCCATCCCTCTTTTCTCCACAGGGAACTCCAACAGACTGAGTGGCCCAAATGGACCTTGTCCAACCGGTTTCCAGAGAGTTAATGGGTCCTGTGTAGGTAAGGCACGGCAGGAGCAGGAGGCTGCAGGGAACCGCGGGCTTGTGTTTCAAGGCTGGGCTACCAGGGACTTAATAGTCCCAGACTCGCCAAAAAAACTTCCTCAACTCTTGCAGATGTGGATGAGTGCGCCACAGGTGGGCGTTGCCAACACGGGGAGTGTGCCAACACTCGTGGCGGGTACACGTGTGTATGTCCGGATGGCTTCCTCCTGGACTCTTCCCGCAGCAGCTGCATCTGTGAGCCACTAGGAAAGGCGGGGGTGGGATGTGGGGGTGGGGGTGGGTTCTGAAGCTGGCTCCTAAATTGCTCATGACCTCAGAGAACATCCCAGAATATTTCTGAATTCTTAATTCCCTCAGATACTGCAAACCCTTCTAGACTTTCAGATTACCCCTTGGGTTTATTCTGGACCTTAGCATCTCTGCGCTGATTTCAGACGCCCCACCCCCAGGCAACCGTTCACAGCCAAGCCCCTCAGACGCCCAGGATCTTGAGTTCCTTTAAGACTTCCAAATTCTCTCAACCTCTTGACCTCTAGACAGCGTTCAGATTCTTGTATTCAGATTCTCAGTTTTGCCTTACTTCAAACCCTGGGCACTCTAGGCTCTCCCTGAGACCTCCCTAAATGCCCCTCCCACTTATCCACTAAATCCTCTCGGAGGGGCCATTCAAACACACACACACAGAGATCCGCTGTACTTCCCATCACGCCCTGAAGAATTTCCTCCCATCCCCCTAGCCCAACACGTGATCTCAGAGGCAAAGGGGCCCTGCTACCGAGTGCTCCATGATGGCGGATGCTCGCTGCCCATTCTTCGAAATATCACCAAACAGATCTGCTGCTGTAGCCGTGTGGGCAAGGCTTGGGGCCGAGGCTGCCAGCTCTGCCCACCTTATGGTTCTGGTGAGCAAGTCCTTCCAACCCATCCCTTCCTAATAAATATACAGAGACCAGAGTCATAGGCCCTGCCCTCAGCCTCTAAAGTTCAGCAGCTTCAAACCTGGCAGTACCTTGGTCACACTCCCAGCGTTTCATGCATCAGTCCTGGGCTTCTTCTTTATCCTTAGCCACGCCTATCCCTGAGACATAGGACTTTAAAGTTAGGCTGACCAGAGCACCGTGCCGCCATCCTTAAAGAGGAAAAGTCTCACATCTCCACCACTGGCTTCTGAAACATCTAATTCTTTGGTCGGTACACTCCATCCAGCACATAAGCCAGACTCCTGACACGATCTCAGATCAAGCTTTGACCCAGCCAAGGCCTTCTCACAACTCACAAGATTCCATGTGGTCTCCTCTCCCATCCTCTGCTTGCCTTGTTCCCAGAGGGTTTTCGGGAGATCTGTCCAGCCGGCCCTGGTTACCACTATTCAGCTTCTGACCTCCGCTACAACACCAGACCCCTAAGCCAGGATCCACCTCGAGTGACCTTCAATCAACCACGTGCTCCACTAGCCACTCCTCGGCCACCTACAGGTGAGCTGAAACACCCCCCCATAGAGGGGGTGCCACTTCCCAGGTGCTGCTTGAAGCAGGCCGGAAGCGAAGGGGCGGAGCAAGCACATCCAAATTTAGATCCCCATACAGATGCTCTTTCTTTACCAGGCCTTCTGCCTACTCGTCGACCAGAGCCCCGCCCTGACCCTGGGCCACAGCCTGAATCCCGGCCTCGGCTTGAACCCCAGCCTCGGCCTGAACCCCGGCCTCGGCCTGAACCCCAGCCTCGGCCTGAACCCCAGCCTCGGCCTGAATCCCGGCCTCGGCTTGAACCCCAACCTCGGCCTGAACCCCAGCCTCGGCCTGAATTTCCCCTGCCCAGCATCCCTGCTTGGACCGGTCCAGAGATTCCTGAATCAGGTGCCATAGGGCTCTGAGGGTGATAGCCGAAATACTGTGAATTTCTGTGGTGAAAGGCTTCAAAGTGAAGGTGTTGGGAAAGATGAAAGAGATAAGGAAGGCTAGAGAGAGTTAAGAACTTGAAGCTTTGGGTAATGGTTCCCTCAGAATACTAACAACTAAGAGTCATGTTCGACTAAATGAGAAAACAGTTACATCCCGAGGCACCAGTTCTTATCCTGTAAAATGGGCATCATGGGAGGTTTCGAGAAAATACCTCTGAAGTATGGGGCATGCGAGTGTCTTTGAGGGTGGATTCAGGCAGAGTTGAGGCTCTCTCAGAGTAAATGACAACATGATCTCCAAGATTAGACTCGGGGAGGGGACACTCATGAAGGTATCTTAGAGGGACTAAGGGCACTGTACTGGGGTAGAAGGGACGAAAAGTTCAGACTTGTGGGGACCTGGCTGACTGCTGGCTCCTCCAGGTCCCTCTTCCAGCATGTGTCAGCGAAATCCCCAGGTTTGTGGGCCTGGACGCTGCGTTCCTCGGCCGAACGGTTACACCTGTGCGTGCGACCCTGGTTTCCGGCTCGGCCCCCAGGGCACTCGCTGCATTGGTGAGCTGGGCAGAGGGAATTCTGCGTGGTCGGGGCTCAGATGGAGGAGGGTCCTCTGCCTGGCCAGCACGTAACTAGCCTGCTCTGTGCCCTCAGACGTAGATGAATGTCGCCGCGTCCCTACACCCTGTGCTCCTGGGCGTTGCGAGAATACACCAGGCAGCTTTCGCTGCGTGTGCGGCACCGGCTTCCGAGCGGGCCCGCGGGCTGCAGAGTGCCTGGGTGAGAATCCCGCCCCTCTAGGCCCCAGGCTCCACCCCTGCTTGAGTCTTTTCTTTGCAGAACGCCGGCCACCTCCTTCGCCTCCCCACGCCGGTCCGGCTCCATTACAACACCATTTTCTGTCCTGGCCAAGATCAGCTAGGCCCCACTCCTGCTCTGCACCTAACCTGGCCCTCCCTTTCCCTGTGGCCTAGATTTTGCCCTAGCTCTGCTCTCACTGGCTCCGCCCTCCCTATCCTGGACTAGCTCCCGCCTCCGGGCCCCGTCTGAGTTCTACAATTTCTGCAGTTAATCTGACAGCGACTCCTGATTCCACTCCATCTCTCGCCTCAAACTACCCTTTCCTTCTCTGACTCCGACTCTGCCTTCCTTTTCTTCCTTTGATCCACAAAGATTCCTTTTCCGCCCTTGCCCTTGCCCAGGTCCTACCCTCCCCAAAGTTGCTCCCTCCCACAATCTTGCTCTCTGCTTGGGTCCCAACTAGCCCACGTTCCAACCTCTGGATTCGATCTCCGCCTTCGCTTTAAGCCTACCCACCCTAGCTCCGCCTACTTCTTTGGTTCCGCCCCAGACTAGCTCTTGTCCTAGCTTCGCCCCGCCCTCGTCCTGCTCGGGCTCCTCGGGCCTCTGGTCCCTCGGGGACTGAGTGTCTGCCCCAGTCCTAGCCTCTGGATTCTGTCCACAGATGTGGACGAGTGCCGCCGCGTGCCGCCGCCGTGTGACCGCGGGCGCTGCGAGAACACGCCAGGCAGTTTCCTATGTGTCTGTCCCGCCGGGTACCAGGCAGCACCGCATGGAGCCAGCTGCCAGGGTGAGGGACTGGGAGGGGACAGCAAGAAAGAGGGTGTAAGGCGAAGGGTTGATAGGTAGCGCTGAGATTGGAGAAGCCGAGCAGAACGGCTTACTAATAGGGGACATAGATCAGGAGCCGAGAGCCAAACGTAGTGACCTGGATCGGATGGAGAGGCCAGGGGGTGCCAAACAGAAGGGCTGGATCATGGAGAATGGAAAAACAGATGGAGAAGGGATGGAAATGTGAGTGATTGGGAAGGGGGGCTGAATTATGGAAGACAAATATAGCCCAATTCATGGGGACCCAGAAGGCAGAATTCCAGGAACCAGAGTCAGAATGACGCCCAGGCAGAATGTAGCATGGTGTGTGTGTGGGGAGGGGGGGGAGGCGTTAATCACTCCAGACACCCCGGGATTTGCTTGCTCCATGCAGATGTGGATGAATGCACCCAGAGCCCAGGCCTCTGTGGCCGCGGGGTCTGCGAAAACCTGCCCGGCTCTTTCCGCTGTGTTTGCCCGGCTGGCTTCCGTGGCTCGGCGTGTGAGGAAGATGTGGACGAATGTGCCCAGCAGCCTCCGCCCTGCGGGCCAGGCCGCTGCGACAACACCGCGGGTTCATTCCACTGTGCCTGCCCAGCTGGCTTCCGCTCCCGAGGATCAGGGGCCCCCTGCCAAGGTGAGGGTGCTGGACCCAAGCCTGCACTGTGGCTTGTTGGGAGATGGAGAGAAACGTTGCTTGGGAATCAAGAGGCTTTAGGGTAGGTTCTGTGACAGAGGCTGAGTGAGCAGAGTATTGAGAAACCTGGGAAGCTCTGGCTGAATTCTGTCTTCTTTTTCCAACTGAGAGTGGACCTCTCCCTCACATAGTGGCCTTGAACTAATGATCCCCCTGCCTCTGATTCCTGAGTAATAAAGGGTGTCCACCTAGAATCAATGCCTGTCCCTCCTCCCATTTAAACTTAAAAAAGAAACGTGTCTTTGTTTATACAGGGAGTGGATGGGAGACGGTGGGTGGGGCCTTACCACTGTGCTAGTATGTAGATCAGAAGACAGCTTACTGGAATCAACCCACTCCTTCCACCATGTGGGTCCCAGGGAGCAAACTTTGGTCATTATGCTTGATGCGGGTGCCTGAGGCAGGAGGACTGGTGTGAGTTTAAGGCCAGTCTAGGCTACTGTGTGAGATCTTGTCTCAAATAAACAAAAACTGGAGTGTTGGGGTGGGTAGGTGGGGAGGGCAGTGGGGAGGACAGTGGGGAGGGGCCCAGGCCTAGTTCTCAGCTTGATTGGCCTCTTCTGCCCAGATGTGGATGAGTGTGCCCGGAGCCCCTCGCCTTGTGCCTATGGCCGCTGCGAGAACACGGAAGGAAGTTTCACGTGTGTCTGCCCTACGGGCTTCCAACCCAACGCTGCGGGCTCCGAGTGCGAGGGTGAGGCCGGGGAGGGAGGGAGGAGTGTGGATGGGTGAGGCGGCCTGGGGCCATTTCCTCAAGACTGCCCTCTCCCCCTACTTCTCAGATGTGGATGAGTGTGAGAACCACTTGGCCTGTCCTGGGCAGGAGTGTGTGAACTCACCAGGCTCTTTCCAGTGCCGGGCCTGCCCTGTTGGTCACCACCTGCACCGTGGCAGATGTACCGGTAAGATCAGGCCTCAATGGGACCTGGAACCTTAACCCTGTATCTTAACCCCGATCATACAGATTTGACCCCTGATCTGATCTGTGACCCTGCCTTGACCCATAATTTAGGACCTGGATCTCAGTCCCTTTACGTGAACTATGACTCCTAAGTTTGACTCTTGCTTCATGCCCCACCAGACCTGAAGTCCCTGATGTGACCCTATTCCTAACCATGGGTGACTCCTCCTGACTCTGTAAGCTAGAAACATGTGATTCGGCTGGAGCATTTAAGAGCTAACCGTGACCCTTCCTGATAATCACTGACCTTGACGCTCAGCAGAAACACATTTCTGGACCCTCACTGTTCCCTGGCCCTAAGTGTGGCCCATGACCCTACATTTTATTGTGTCATTTTATCTTAGTCAAGACAAAACAAAACAACAAAACAAAAATACCTACCATCCTGACCAGTGTTGTTCTGGTTTCCCAGCCGTCTGCAGCCCTTCTCAGAACCTCTTCCCTGGAACTTAACTGGGTACACAGTCCTTGACCCCAACACTCATCCCTGACATCAGTCTGTGACCTCTGACTCTAGCTGACTTTGACACATTTGTTGAGGAGAATCTTATCTAACAATCTAGTTCAGAATACCCCGAGTCATCCCTTACCCGAGTTTCTGATCCCCAGTGCCAATCCAGAGTCTTCTTCCCTGACTCCAGGAACCCCGGTAGAGGGAGTCTCTGATTCCCAGGTTCACAGAACTTTTTAATCCTGGAGTCTTCTGTCCTTTGTTCAAGACCCTTTCTAACCATTCCTACCTACCCTTTTGCTCCAGTGGACCCTTTCTGAGCCCCTAACCCACTCTTACAGACGTGGACGAATGCAGTTCAGGCACCCCCTGTGGTCTCCACGGCCAGTGCAGGAATACTAAAGGCTCCTTCCACTGCAGCTGCTCGACAGGTTACCGGGCACCATCTGGTCGACCTGGGCCTTGTGCAGGTGAGCTAGCCAACCAGCGGGAGAGTCTGGGAGTAGTGCCTGGATTCTTGAGCAAATCCCATTAGAGAAGTAAAATGGGCTAAGAAAGGAATTTTCAAAGAGACTTAGTCTTCAAGGTTGCAACTTGGGTGTCGTGGTTACAAAATTATGGGCGGGGCTTACTTCGAGGGACCAACAGCACTATCCTGACTCTTGCGTACCCTAGACATAAATGAGTGTCTGGAAGGCGACTTCTGCTTCCCCCACGGAGAATGCCTCAACACCGATGGCTCCTTTACCTGTACTTGTGCCCCTGGCTACCGGCCTGGACCTCGTGGAGCGTCTTGTCTGGGTCAGTCCCCAGGCCGTATCTGAGTATGGAAAAAGTGGGCTTACAGCAGGAAAAGGAGGAGCGAGGGAAATTGGGCAGAAAGAGGACTCTGGATGTTTTGAGGGTTTGGGGGGAATTTACATGATCAGTGGGGTGAAGCTTTTGGGAGGCTGGAGGCCGCGATCATAGAGGAACAGGATGTGTCAGGAAAAGTTGGAAGCGGACAGCTGGATAGTGATTGGAAGGAACCTCTGACTGGAGGCGGGGCTTGCAAGAAAAGGTTGGGGCCTGAAACAGATTGGGTGAGGTCTTCCTTTGAGGCTTTGGAATTTGGAGGGCTGGGATGGGGGAACTGAGAGGGTGTGGCCTGGGATATTAAGCAGAGGGGGAGGTGGGCCTGGGTTTCGGATGCCCTGTCCTGCAGACGTGGACGAGTGCAGCGAGGAGGATCTTTGCCAGAGCGGCATCTGTACGAACACTGACGGCTCTTTCGAGTGCATCTGTCCTCCTGGACACCGTGCAGGCCCTGACCTTGCCTCCTGCCTTGGTGAGAGGCCTCCTTCCCCTCCCCCTTTCTGTTTTCTCCCCCACCCTTTCCTTATTTACCCTCTCTTCCACTTCTCCCTCCTGAGCCTCCTTCCCCCTTTTTGTCTCGCCTGTTTCCTTCATATGACATGCCTGCCTGGTCCTTAGACATTGATGAGTGTCGTGAACGGGGACCTGCCCTGTGCGGGTCTCAGCGCTGTGAAAATTCTCCTGGCTCCTACCGCTGCGTACGGGACTGCGACCCAGGTTACCACCCTGGCCCTGAGGGCACCTGTGATGGTAAGACAGAGCCCTTAAAACCTGCGACAGATTATGGAACCCTACTCCCCTTGGAATTAGGAAAGAGATGCTCTGTCTCAGAAACCTGGAAGGAGAGGTTCCACGGCTCACACTTCCCTTTCTCCCCTCAGTGTTCTCTGGGGGAAAATTAGCCTCTGCTGTGTGTTTGTGTTTTCTTATGTGGGCAGAAGCTTTCTTATCAGGAATCAGGGCAAGCTAGAAGCCCCCCCCCCCCTTACTGAACCATTTTAATAAGGTTAGAGGGAGAGGATGCAGGACGAATCAATAGTTTCTGTAACCCATGAAACAAAACTATTATGGGCTACATTTCCCTCCCTAGTGGCTAAGCCTCTGACTGATGAAAATCTCACTTCCTAAGAACTTAATCATTAATTACAGAGAAGCCCAGTCAGCAGCCACTGGTGCCAGACATTGAGGGTATAGCAGGAAAGGGCCCCACAAAACCCCTGCCCTCAATGAGCTAACACAGTGTGGGGGGTAGGGGGAGGTAACTATGCAAATGAAGTCAGAACTCATCCCACAGATGACTGTGAGACCCTTTCTCTATGTAAGGCACTGTTGATGTCTTGGCAGGCATGCCGATTTGTGTGGAGTTTGTACTGAAGGGTGGTATCTACTATACCCTAATGATTTTATAGATGAAATGTCTGGTTGTTGTTTTGTTGAGACAGTGTCTTGCTAAGTGCTCCAGGCTGACCTTCAACTTGTTTTTTGTTTTGAGATAGCCTCCCCCTTCCTCCTCCCTCCCTCCCTGTGTGTGTGTGTGTGTGTGTGTGTGTGTGTAGACCTGGCTGGCTTGGAATTCACTATTGTAGGATACTCTTGCCTTGAATTTACAGCAATCCTCCTGCCTCAGCCTTCCTAGTGCTGAATTCTAGTCATACACCAGAGCACCTGCTTCTGACTCCCAAGTGCTGAATTCCGGGCATATGCCACCAGGCCCAGCTTAAAGTCAAGGTTTAATAAAGACGATGTGAGACAGAGAATGTCTCTCATTTGGTAGGGTCCTTGCCCTCAAATGGAGGATGCCTTGGGTTAGACACTGGATAAATGCATAAACTGAGTGCTGTCCTGTGATTCTAGCATTTGGGAGGTGGAAGCTAAAAAATCAGAAGTTTAGGGCCATCCTTGGCTGCATAGCATTTTTTTTTTTTTAATGTTAACTTTAAAAGGAGAATAGTAAAGGCTGGAGAGATGGCTCAGTGGTTAGGAGCACTGGCTGTTCTTCCAGAGGTCCTGAGTTCAATTCCCAGCAACCACATGGTGGCTCACAACCATCTGTAATGGGATCCGATGCCCTCTTCTGGTGTGCATGAAGAGAGCGGCAGTGTACATACATACATACATACATACATACATACATACATACATACATAATATAAATACATTTTTTAAAAGGAGAGTAATAGGTGTAGTGGCATCCGTTTCTACGATTCCAGTAATTGGGAGGCGGAAACAAGAGGAGGAGTTTAAGGTTATCCTTGGTGGGGGGTGGGGGAGTAAGGGAGTCAGGAGGACAGGAGTGGGTGGAAATGACGTAAATACAGTATGCATGTGATGTGAAATTCTCAACAAGAACAAAAAGAGTAAGAAAGGAAAATAAGCGGGCTGATGTGACAGGACATTGGGGCAAATTACTCAGGGAGGCTGAGTAAGAGGGCTGGACTTTGATGTGTCCGTGAATGAGGAGAAAGGGCTATGCAATACACATGGCTGTGGAGACTTATCTAGCAGAGCGAACAGTGTGAACGAAGACCCCTCAGGGCGGCCCTGTTGGGACTGTTTGAGACTTAAGAGCTACTAGATTCGTGGAATACTAACCAGGCCCGGAGACTTCTCAGTCTTAGCAACACCCCACCATCTCAGGTCTTTGACACCCCCGCCCCCACTCTGTTGCAGACGTGGACGAGTGCCGAGAATATGGCTCTGCGATTTGTGGTGCCCAGCGCTGTGAGAACACCCCTGGCTCCTACCGCTGCACGCCAGCCTGCGACCCTGGCTATCAGCCTACACCAGGGGGCGGGTGTCAGGGTGAGTGTTCGCGGGGTAGTAGGGGGAATCTGAAGAGGGTAAGAGGTTTAGAAATGACCTTATTGAAACTGGCTGCTGGTGTTTGCAGATATTGATGAGTGCCGGAACCGGTCTTTCTGCGGCGCCCATGCTATGTGCCAGAATCTGCCTGGCTCCTTCCAATGTGTCTGTGACCAAGGCTACGAAGGGGCACGGGACGGGCGTCACTGCGTGGGTAAGGGACCAGAAGGGGTAGTAGATTGGTTCAGCCCTGCCCTTGTCCGCTCTCCTGGAGAAAGAGAAGTTCTAGAGTTGCAGAATTAGTTCCTAGAGCCTAAGTGTTATGTCTCAGGAACCGAGACATAACCAGTTAAAACTGGCCTGTAGAGCCAGGCATGGTAGTAGCTCACTATTGTTTTCTTTGTTTTTTTTTTTTTTGTTTTGTTTTTCAAGACAGGGTTTCTCTGTGTAGCCCTGGCTGTCCTGGAACTCACTCTGTAGACCAGGCTAGCCTCGAACTCTCGAACTCAGAGATCCGCCTGCCTCTGCCTCCCAAGTGCTGGGATTAAAGGCATGCGCCACCACTGCCCGGCTAGTAGCTCACTTTTGTAATGCCAATATTTGGAAGGCAGAAACAAGAGGATTGTTATGAGTCTGAGGCCAGCCTGAGCTACATAGCAAGTTCCAGGCTAGCCTAGGTGACCGAGTAACACACACACACACACACACACACACCATCTCCAAACAGAAAGATCAAGTGATCTTACACAATTAGTTTTTGCTTTTTTGGTTTTGGTTAAGATTTATTCATTTTATTTTATGGGTGTTTTCCTACATATATTGATGGGTACCATGTTTGTGCCTGGTGCCCATGAAGGTCAGAAGGGGGCATTGGATGCTCTGGAACTGGAGTTAGAGACGATGTGAGCTCCATGTGGGTGCTGGGAATTGAACCCTGGGTCCTCTGCAAGAGCAGGAAGGGCTCTGAACCACTGGCCATCGCTCCAGAGCCTCAACTAGTTTTGTTTGTTTGTTTTGTGTTGTTTTGAGATATGGTTTCTCTGTGTAGCCCTGGCTGTCCTAGAACTCACTCTGTAGACCAGGTTGGCCTCAAACTCAGGGATCTGCCTTCCTCTGTCTCCGAAGTGCTGGAATTAAAGGTGTGCACCACCACTGTCCAGCATAAGTTTGCGTGTGTGTGTGTGCGTGTGTGTGTGTGCGTGTGTGTGTGTGTGTGTGTTAGACAGTTAATCCTTGAATTCACTGTGTAGACATGAATGGCCTCCAATTTTGGATCCTCCTGCCTCCACTTCTGAAGTACTGAGGTAACAGGTATGTGCCATCACACCCAGCTCCAGCCCACATGTTACATTTTATTTTTAGAAACAGGGGCCCTAGGTCGCCGGGGCTGGCCTTGAACTCTCTATGCAGCTGAGGCAGGCCTTGGATGTCTGAAACTCCTGCCTCAACCTCCTTAGCAGCTAGGATTACAGCTCTAGACCACAGATCTGACAGAACATTCTACACAGAGAAGTGTGGACTGCACCCCTCCAGCCCACGCTGTAGCTTCTATGAGCACCCCCACCATCATCACCATGGCCACCATGGCTGTTATTTTATTGCCCCCCCCACCATCACCACTACGGTCACCAGCGTTAATGTTAGTATACTGACCTTCTCATTTGTCCCCCATGACTGTGTCTAGGCACTAGGATAGATTTGTGGGGTTCTGAGGGGTTGTTTTGAGAAA